GCATTCAAGGGATGCCTGGGTTAAGTGTCCAACTTTAGCTCAGGTCATGATCTCACAGTTTGTGAGTTTGAGCCCCACATCGGGCTCTGTGGTGAAAGCTCAGATGTGCTCAGATTCTGTGACTCCCTCTTTCTCTCTGCCTCTCCCCGGCTCACTCTTGTGCTCCTCTCTCTCTCTCTGTCTCAACAGTAAATGTTAAAAAAAATAAAATAAAAAAGAATAGGCATTCGAGTAGATAATTCTATAATTTTCTTTAAATGTGTGTTATTTTTAAATAGTTTCAGTATTTTACTCACCACAACCGCACAGAGGTTATATTTAGGGTGTTTCCGAAAAACTGGACAAATATAAGGACTAAGGTCCAAGTTTGTGAGTGGATAATGAATATCTGTCCTCAGTTTTCTTTTCATTGTACCCAGAATGTCAAATCTGGAGAGAGAATAAATGTGCAAAATACAAAGTAAGTTTGTCAATGACTCATTAGTGAAGTCTACATACCTTGGTAAATTCCAAGTACAGTTAAAAGTAATTTCTTACAAAGGTAATTTGGCACAGACCTGTACATAATTTTCCTTATGTATGTATACTTATAATCTCCACATTCCTTAGTGTCACCAGAACTGACACTGGTTGGGCCAGAGGTATGAGTCAGAGGGTAAGACATTACAGAATCAATCCAGTGAGAAGGCAACAGGGAAAAAGCCAGGCTTGACATCAGGGAGTAGAAATGACCTTGACTGACTCAGCTTTTCCTTATCTTGATTTTAGCACATGTTGTCTTGGCAATGCCCTTTTCCCAGCTCTGAGGTTTGTTTTTTTAATGTTTATTTTTGAGGGGGGGGGGAGCATGAGCGTGGGGCACTGGGTGGGGGTGGGTAGCGGTGGCAGACACAGAGGAAAACATAGAATCTGAAGCAAGCTCCACGCTAATCAAGTTGTCAGCACAGAGCCCAACATGGGGCTCAAACCCATGAACCATGAGATCATGACTTGAGCCAAAGTCAGACACTTAAACAACTGAGCCACTCAGGCACCTCTCCAGCTCTGAAGGTTTTTTGTTTTTTGTTTTTAATGTGTATTTATTTTAGAGAGAGCACGTGAGCAGGGGAGGGGCAGAGAAAGAGAGAGAGAGAGAGAGAGAATCAGAAGCAGGCTCCAGTCACTGAGCTGTCAGCACAGAGCCTGACATGGGGCCCAAACACACGAACTGTGAGATCGTGACCTGAGCTGATGTCGGACAATTAACAAACTGAGCCACCCAGGCACCCCTCTGAGGTTTTAATGTATCTTTAGTAAGATAAAATTTTCTGCGAATCTTGTCACATTCTCGAATTGTTATATAGATCAGCAGTTCCCAAATTTGAACTCCTATCAGCATCACTGGAGTTTTTTCAAAAATTATGTTTATTTTAGAAAAATGGCTGATTTAGGCCTGGGGCAGGAAAATTATTGCATGACCATGCTTATGTACCATAGCAAAAGAAAGGAAGATTTATACCCATATAAAAACCTATATGCTAATGTTTATAGCAGCTATATTCATATCTGCCACAAATTGCTATCAGCCCAAACGTTCATCAACTGATGAATGAATAAACAATTGTGATACATTCACGAAAGGGAATACTACACAGCAAGACAAAGGAAAGATCCACTAACTGATGCCACGACACGAATTCATCTCAGAAACATTATGTTAAGTGAAAGAAGCGGAACTCAAAAACGAAACAAAAAAACAAAAACAAAAACAAAAACAAAAAACAAAACCACACATGGTATAACACAGGACATTCTGGAAAAGGCAAAACTATAAAGACAGAAATCTGATCAGACGATTCCAGAGGCTGAGGGTAGGAGAAAGGGTGGATTATAAGAAAATGTTTTGGGGTGACAGACGTACTCTGTATGTTGGCTGTGATGGTTTACATGACTGCATGTATTTGTCAAAATTCATAGAACTGTATCCCTAAAATGGATACATTTTATACTTGCAATTATACTTTAATAAACCTAAACTAACTAATGGGCTCAGAGGAACAGGCTTGAAGGGTCTCCCACTCGTCAATTTTGTGTGTGTGTGTTTTTTAAATATATGAAATTTATTGTCAAATTGGTTTCCATTAAACACCCAGTGCTCATCCCAAAAGATGCCCTCTTCAATACCCATCA